TGTAACTCCAAGTCAATCACACTTCTGTGAAATCAAACTGTCCACTTAGGAAGCAACACTGATTGACAATAAATTTCACATGCTGTTGTGCAAATGGAATAGACAACAGGTGGAAATTATAGGCAATTAGCAAGACACCCCCAATAAAGGACTGGTTTTGCAGGTGGTGACCACAGACCACTTCTCAGTTCCTATGCTTCCTGGCTGATGTTTTGGTCACTTTTGAATGCTGGCGGTGCTTTCACTCTAGTGGTAGCATGAGACGGAGTCTACAACCCACACAAGTGGCTCAGGTAGTGCAGCTCATCCAGGATGGCACATCAATGCGAGCTGTGGCAAGAAGGTTTGCTGTGTCTGTCAGCGTAGTGTCCAGAGCATGGAGGCGCTACCAGGGAGTCAGGCCAGTACATCAGGAGACGTGGAGGAGGCCGTAGGAGGGCAACAACCCAGCAGCAGGACTGCTACCTCCGCCTTTGTGCAAGGAGGAGCAGGAGGAGCACTGCCAGAGCCCTGCAAAATTACCTCCAGCAGGCCACAAATGTGCATGTGTCTGCTCAGACGGTCAGAAACAGACTCCATGAGGGTGGTATGAGGGCCCGACGTCCACAGGTGGGGGTTGTGCTTACAGCCCAACACCGTGCAGGACGTTTGGCATTTGCCAGAGAACACCAAGATTGGCAAATTCGCCACTGGCGCCCTGTGCTCTTCACAGATGAAAGCAGGTTCACACTGAGCACATGTGACAGAGTCTGGAGACGCCGTGGAGAACGTTCTGCTGCCTGCAACATCCTCCAGCATGACCGGTTTGGCGGTGGGTCAGTCATGGTGTGGGGTGGCATTTCTTTAGGGGGCCGCACAGCCCTCCATGTGCTCGCCAGAGGTAGCCTGACTGCCATTAGATACCGAGATGAGATCCTCAGACCCCTTGTGAGACCATATGCTGGTGCGGTTGGCCCTGGGTTCCTCCTAATGCAAGACAATGCTAGACCTCATGTGGCTGGAGTGTGTCAGCAGTTCCTGCAAGAGGAAGGCATTAATGCTATGGACTGGCCCGCCCGTTCCCCAGACCTGAATCCAATTGAGCACATCTGGGACATCATGTCTCGCTCCATCCACCAACGCCACGTTGCACCACAGACTGTCCAGGAGTTGGCGGATGCTTTAGTCCAGGTCTGGGAGGAGATCCCTCAGAAGACCATCCGCCACCTCATCAGGAGCCCAGGCGTTGTAGGGAGGTCATACAGGCACGTGGAGGCCACACACACTACTGAGCCTCATTTTGACTTGTTTTAAGGACATTACATCAAAGTTGGATCAGCCTGTAGTGTGGTTTTCCACTTTAATTTTGAGGGTGACTCCAAATCCAGACCTCCATGGGTTGATAAATTTGATTTCCATTGATCATTTTTGTGTGATTTTGTTGTCAGCACATTCAACTATGTAAAGAAAAAAGTATTTAATAAGATTATTTCATTCAGATCTAGGATGTGTTATTTTAGTGTTCCCTTTATTTTTTTGAGCAGTGTACTTTACCCCAGGACACATTTACATTTTAGTCATTTAGCAGACGCTCTTACCCAGAGCGATTTACAGGAGCAATTAGGGTTAAGTGCCTTGCTCAAGGGCACAGACAGATTTTTCACCTAGTCGGCTCGGGGATTAGAACCAGCGACCTTTCGGTTACTTGCACAACGCTCTTAACCACTAAGCTACCTGCTGCCCATTATGGGCAATAACTATAGAAACAAGGTAGCTTTATTCACGTCAGGGGAATTTAGCAAAATAAGGTTGCTATATTCGCATCATGGGAATTTAACGAAAAGTGTCAGCCTATTTGCAACAAACCTCCTTGTTATTGCATTTACATTTTCGTTTTCGTGTGTTCCTCTTGTATTCAGTGGCGTCTATGAATCAAATAATTATGAAGGCATAAATGTATGAAAGTGTGTATATTTATTTTAAATTGATTTAGTTATTTCCTTGTGATGTACTTGTCTATTAATGTTATGTATTATTTCATGTTTTATGTTTTGTGTGGACCCCAGGAAGAGTATCTGCTGCTTTAGCAGTAGCTAATGGGGATCCTAATAAAATACTAAAATATGAAATACCTCATGTCCAGGTTGGATTTGAATTTAGGTTGGAACATCCCTGCAAGCTCATCTGAATGGTCAAACTAAACACAAAACATTAGTACTCATAGACGCTTCGTTTGGCGTTTCAGATTTTTTATCCAGTAATATTTGTTCTCTGTGGAAAAACAGTTCACACATCAATTATTTCCCCCTTTAGGAGGCAATGAGGCCTTTTATTTTCAATCACGTTTATGTTATCATGTACATTTCTAAGTGAAAATAACAAACCAGTACAATATGGCACAGTGAACTAGATCTCTTACCTTTCTCCAATATGTCAACTAGCTCCTTCTGGTTCATGTTCCTCAGGACATGCAGTGTGATCTGCAGAGCCCCCTCTCTGGCAAATGCTCTCCTGCTTCTCATCTTCAGCGTCCACCATTTCTGCATCCTCCCTCTGACTCTCAAAGCATTCTGGGAGATCAGGACTTTTCGAACGTCTTCAGCTCTTTCTTCACAAAATAGATAACGTGGTCCTCGAGCATCTGAAATCAACAATTCAATATGAAGAGACAGAGAGCTCACGACAAGTGTTAGGTCTAGTTGTAAATGTTAAAACCCCATACAGAGTATTGATCATTATGGTATACAATAGAAAGATAAACATTTTCCACATCGAATCCTGGCACAGGATTGGGAGAGAACATATAGCAATGAAAATAAAATTAATAATTCAACTGTTTGCTGCTGATATTTTCTTTTCTTTAGCTGTAATACTAAAGTGTTTGCCCATTAATGGTCAGGTTTCTACGTAGCTTTTAAATCCCACAGTTTTTTTTACTCTCTTTCAGATTTATTAATAGTGTATTTTCCATCCGACAGTGTTTTGATTTGTATGTGACATTTCAAATGTAGCTAATAACATTGTTACATTTCATACCTTTATCCCATAAAGGCCTGTAGAGAGTAAAATTAGTCAAGTAGAGTAAAATGTCACCCACCCCACAAAAAATATATGCATGGATATTTACCCTTGTTTTGTAGGGAAGGCTTTCTGTCTGAATTCTATAGACAGCATCATAGACTGGTCACTCTTCATGGACACACATCTGGGTACAGGCATGTCGGATCTTTCCTGATGGGCCCTTTCAAAAACAAAATGTTGAATATTAGTTGAACCATCTTACACAGACACTAAAACATACTGCACACTGACTGTTCTCACATCTTGGCTCCATGGTTGGGGTCATTGTCCACGGAAGGACTCATTTCAGAGGCTGAACCCCTCTCCTTGTGAGACTTCTTGTAAATGCAGGGGTCTTCTCCTCTGTCTCCACCTAGAGAGCCCGTTGGGGAGTTGCAGCGATAAGACATGATCGAAATGCATGATTCAGTGTTGCTTGCCTCGAAGCGAGCATAAAAGGCATTTAGCTCGTCTGGTAAATTCGCGTCACTGGGTAGCGCACATCTGGGTTATCCTTTGTAGGCACCTTGATTGAATCCACCTTTTCCACTGCTTTCTTCACAGTCCTCAATATTACAAATTGATTTCTCAAATGAATCTCATTGTCCAAAAAACGCAGTCCAATAAGAAATGCTTTATTGGACCGGTCCTTGTCTTCTACTACAACTTTTGCTCGTTTTGTTCCATTCTTTGATTTCACTTTTTCCATTCATTATCACACACTTCACTTGCCTCACTTTCTGAGTCAAGCACACTCCATTTCCTCTAGACCGACCTCACACCAACTCTCTCGCCGAGGAGCCTTGCTGGCGTTCTACAAGAACTCCCACTTGTTCTACCACCAACTTGCGCACATCGCCCTCGTGCGGCAACGTTTGCAAACACAGAAAAGGGTCTATATTTTCAATGTTAACTTCAATTGGATAGTGACGTCCCAATGATCCCGCGTTGCAATGACCATTTATTTACAGAGAGAGGCTGAGAGCACGTCTACGTGGTGACGTACTTATTTCTGGTCACGTGACTCCTCCGAAAAGGAGCAGCATGGCGGACACGCATATGCAACCTCAAAACAAACTCCTGCAATTGTACAGTTTTAGCTAGCAAACCACCGAAATCGTGCGACAGGCCGGGGCACCGGCGCCTGAGAACACTGCAAGATGGACGAGGAGAATAAACTTCAGTTCCCGTCCCTTCCTCCGTGTAAGGAGGACCTATTGGTAAGTTCTAGTATGCAAGCTAATGCAGCTAGCTAGCTAAATCTCTCTGGTTAGCAGAGCAAGTTAACGTTAGTTAGCATACTCAAAAACAGCCCTTGTAAGATGAACGTAACGTTAGTCTAATAACATGTCATCGATCTCACTCGAGAAATATGACTTTAGTTCAATGTAATCTTGTCTGAAGCATTTTTTAATGCTCTTTAATCATATTTCTGCTCAAAGTTAGATGTGTTCCGCTAACAAGCTACCTAACGTCAGCTAACTATCTAGTTCGTTTGCTAACTAGCTAGCAATATATCGCCAGTCGAAGCTGTTCAGTGTGTTGTCCCACTGGCAAGTGTAACTTAGAAGCTAGATATTCTCGCTACAAGACACAGGGAATCTTGTCAGTTGACTACTGACCGGCGATTTGGGTTTGGTGGCTGCAGTGATTATTTAAGAATATTTGCATTTTGCATTTTAGTCATATACTGTTAAGTAGCTAGTTAGCCTGCCAGCTAACATCCCTTGACATTTCTGATATCTTCCACAGGACTGGGCGTATCCAATGAGACGAGAAATGCAGGTAGCTATGCCTTTTTGTCCCCAAAGTGGAATTCATGAAACGGCCAACAGAAGTGACTGCTGAGTCATCATACTGGCTACAATAAATCATGTCATCTCATAATGATGCCAAAACATGTTTCTCCATTGTTTTAGGAAATTCTACCAGGCCTGTTTTTAGGTCCCTACTCAGCTGCTATGAAAAGCAAGGTAAGTTGGTATACCATAATTAAAACAGGGGTGGCTATTCTGATCTGCAGGTGTTGGTGCAGGCCTTTATTCCAGACCAGTCAAGCAGTAACACACTTCATTCAATAAATCAGTCTTGTTCAGGTGTGAAAGGGCAGTGTGGAGCGCAATAAAGATTGCATCATCTGTGGATCTGTTGTGGCTGTATGCAAATTGGAGTGGGTCTAGGGTTTCTGGGATAATGGTGTTGATGTGAGTCATGACCAGCCTTTGCAAAGCACTTCATGGCTACAGATGTGTGTGCTACGGGTCAGTAGTCAAGTGTTGACAAAGTGTTGACAGTGCTGAGTAAGAATTTAAACATGAACTCACTCATGAAAGCAGCAGCTCTTTGCTGTATTCATTGACAGTCTCTCTCTTGTCATGGTTTTAAACATTTTGAAATCTCACAGTATCAACTTGGCTGTAGCTTTCTTTTATGCCTGCTACATTACTGCAGACACGGTAATCTGAGCCATCCTATTGGCCAGCGGTAGGCCAATAGTGCACTTGATTTGCTCTCTGGTCCCGCCGGGAAGGCAGAGTTTGTACCTTCAAAATGGCAACAAAGAGCTACTGCATACATACTGCAATGTGGGTTGGATTGAATTGAGCCCCTAATCTTCATTTTCAAGGTGATTATTGCACTTTTCTTCCTAACACAATACTGCAAGAAATGAGTTCACATTTCAACAAAAACATATTGGCGCCCCATAGGGATTCAAATTCATACTGCAAGTGGCAATAGATGTCAGGCACTCGGCACCTTACCACTAGGCTAACTAGTCAGAGCAGTGTTTACTTGCGATGCACATCATTTTATTATCAGAGCGTGCCAGTGGACTTCTGGTACGGATGCTTTAGTGAGAAAGTATTGGGATCAGGTACATCTACGTTTACCCACCCAAAAATGAATATTTATGAGCAATTCCCCCCCACCAACAACTTCTCACCTGAATGCATTTTGTATTTTATTTGAAGGGGTTGGGTAGAGGCTGAAATTGGAGTTGATAGTTACCTTTTAAAGGTGCAGAGTTTCTGACATCTAATGTCACTTGCGTTGTAAGTTCGAATCCCCCATGGGACACATTTATTGCGGTATTGTGTTGGGAAGAAAAGTGCAATCATCACCTTGAAACTGAAGATTAGGGGCTCAATTAAATCCAAACCGCATTGCAGTATTTACGGAGTAATTCTTTTTTCCAATGGTCAAATGAACTCAGACTGGTTTTGGGTACTATATAAAAACCTACAACTACTACCAGGGTGTGATCCCTCTCACAGGTATGCTTTCACTTTTCAGAATTGGAAGTGTGAGGGTACGGAACGAATATTGTAAAGCAAGGATAAAACATTTTTTTAAAGTAAAGATATCTTCCCTATGTGGGTTTAGAACTCACAACCATTGAACTATGAGCCAACTGTATTTAGTGGACTGTGCCACCAATCAGTTATAGCAGTTTGGAAAAGATAGGAGTTGACATGACCACAATTGTCATCTATTTCTTGTGCAGATGGATATAGCTACAAATATAAATCCTCATAGCCTAGATGTTTTTTCTTCTTTGTAAAAGCACATAGATGTGTATGAAATGGTAAGCACAAACGTTGAATTTTGTCATATGCAGAAATGTGCCTTACTGCCTTTTGAATTGTGTTACATCCGTAGCCTAGTCAAGGTAGCATCATGCAAAGTACATTTGCACACCAGCAACACCATTGCCAAATAAGATGCACTGTCACCTGCTAGCTAAACCTAAAACATCTGGATTTCAATGTTTTTTTTTTTGTTCATGAGTTACTCTTTAAGTAACCTGTCTTATGTAACCATACCAAACATAACATATCATACTAATTTGAGTGTCCTGGATTTACGTTTACTACGTCTAGTCTGAGACCAGGCTGTATTAATAGGCCTACAGCGTGCAGTAGGATATGTTGATCAGTTGATTGACCGGTGTACTGTAGAACGATAAACTTTCCTCTAGTGTGGATGTTCGCCAACGTTTTTATAGTTGTGTAGTTCATTCTTATAGTTAGCATCCTTGGGTGGATGGCCCTTAAGATTGGTCATCAAAATGTTGAAGGTCCTGGACCATAAAATAACTTTTCTTTGAGATTGTACAATGTGCTGTTAACTCAAACCTTTTGTCCTCTTTTAGCTTTCCATCCTTGAAAGACAGGAGATAACGCATTTAGTGTGTGTTCGCCAAGATATTGAGGCAAATTTTATAAAGGCCAACTTCCCACATAAATTTAGGTAAGAAACAAACTGAGAATGGGTACATGTGTTTAAAACTCAGCCAATGACATCTCTCACTCAATCTATCAGCTAATTAATGTGGCCTGCTTTCTTCTGTTTTCAGATACCTCGTTTTAGATATTGCCGACAATCCTGTGGAAAACATAATTAGATATTTCCCTATGGTGAGTTTCAGCATGAGCTGAATGTGGTGGATAATGTTACAATGTACTGCAGCCTGACCTGCCATGTTATTGTTAGTAGGCATAAATGTATTTTCCCCTCTATCCACAGACTAAAGAATTTATTGATGGCTGTTTAGCAAGCGGAGGTAATAAAAATTTATTTAATTGGATTGAATATTGTCTTTAGAATTTCATTCCAAAAAACTGTGCGCATACAACAATGTGCAGGTACTTATTTTCCTTCTACAGTGCCTTCAGAAAGTATTCACACCAACTTTTTTCACATTTTGTTGTTACAGCCTGAATTTTTTATTGATTACATTTAGATTTTTTCGTCACACAATATCCCATAATGTCAAAGTGGAATTGTTTTTCAAAAATGTATTGTCAATAAGTATTCAACCCCTTTGTTATGGTAAGCCTAAATAAGTTCAGGAGTAGAAATTAGCTTAATAAATAAAATAAAAAATAAAGCAGACATTGAATATCCCTTTGAGCATGGTGAATTTATTAATTACACTTTGGATGGTGTATCAATACACTAAGTCACTACAAAGATAAAGGCGTCCTTCCTAACTCAGTTGCCGGAGAGGAAGGAAACCGCTCAGGGATTTCACCAAGAGGCCAATGGCGACTTTAAAACAGTTTAATGACTGTGATAGGAGAAACCTGAGGATGGATCAACAACATTGTAGTTACTCCACAATACTAACCTAATTGACAGATTGAAAAGATGGAAGCCTGTACATAATACAAATATTCCAAAATATGCATCCTGTTTGCAAAAGGCATTAAAGTAATACTGCAAAAAATGTGGCAACGCAATTAACACTGTATTCAAGACAAAAAGTTTGTGTTTGGGACAAATCCAATACAACACATTACTGAGTACCACTCTCCATATTTTCAAGCATAGTGATGGCTGCATCACGTTATGGGTATGTTTGTAATCGTTAAGGACTCGGGAGTTTGTCAGGATAAAAAAGGAACGGAATGGCGCTAACTAAGCACAGGCAAAATCCTATAGGAAAAAAAACGTGGTCCAGTCTGCTTTCCACCAGACACTGGGAGATGAAATCACCTTTTAGCAGGACAATAACCTAAAACACAAGGCCAAATTTACACTGCAGTTGCTTACCAAGAAGACAGTGAATGTTCCTGAGTGGCCGAGTTACATTCTTGACCTAAATCTTCTTGAAAATATATGTTGACCTTAGAGACTTACCCAGTAAGACTAATCGCTGTCAAACGTGATTCTAACATGTATTGACTCAGGGGGTTGAATACTTATCTAATCTATACTGAACTAAAATATAAACGCAACATGCAACAATTTTAAAGATTATGCTGAGTTACAGTTCATATAAGGAAATCAGTCAATTGAAATAAATTAATTTGGCCCTAATCTATGGATTTCACATGACTGGGCAGGGGCAAAGCCATGGGTGGGCCAGGGAGGGCATAAACTCACCCGCTTGGGAGCCGGGCCGACCCACTGGAAGCCAGGCCCAGCCAATCAGAATGAGTTTTTCCCCACAAAAGGGCTTTATTACAGACAACTACCGGCGTGGTTACAGGTGGTCTGCGGTTGTGAGGCCGGTTGGACGTAATGCCAGATTCTCTAAAACGACGTTGGAGGCGGCTTATGGTAGAGAAATGAACATTACATTCTCTGGCAATAGCTCTGGTGGACATTCCTGCAGTCAGCATGCCAATTGCACGCTCCCTCAACTTGACATCTGTGGCATTGTGTTGTTACAAAACTGCACATTTTAGTGGCCTTTTATTGTCCCCAGAATAAGGTGCACCTGTAATGATCATGCTGTTTAATCAGCTTCTTGATATGCCACAGCTGTCAGGTGGATGGATTAACTTGGCAAAGGAGAAATGCTCACTAACAGGGATGTAAACAAATTTGTGCACAACATTTGAGAGAAAGAAGCTTTTTGTGCATATGGAAAATTACTGAGATCTTTTATTTCATCTCATGAAACATGGGACCAGCACTTTACATGTTGCGTTTATATATTTGTTGAGTGTAGATAGTGTTTTATTTTTCATAAATTCTAACATTTGTAAAAAAAAAATCTTCCACTTTGACATTTAGAGTATTTTGTGTAGATCATTGACCAAAAATGACAAATCCATTTTAATCCCACTTCGTAACAAGAAAATGTGGGAAAAGTATTTCTGAAGGCACTGTATGTGACATTTCTTGTACCCTGCACCTGGAGAATTGTTGGATTGTGCGATACACATATACTATTTCCCCATAGAAATCTATCTTGACTCTTTCCTTGTCTTGTTCACATAGGAAAGGTACTAGTTCATGGAAATGCAGGGATATCAAGAAGGTTGGTTACCTCTCCTCATGTAAAATATTTGATTTTGAACAGATCCAGTGTTTGAAAATACCCTAATTCCCTGCCTGTCTATTGATCTTGAAGGAATACTTTAAGGAATACCTGGAATAGTATAAAGTAATCCTTCTACCCCCCCCCCCCCCCCACCCCACACCCATTAAAGAGTGGTTGTCCCACTGGCTATCATAAGTTGAATGCACCAATGATGTAAATGATTGATATTCTGTTACTTAAAGATGAAGACCAGTATCAATCTAAATAATTATCTCTTCTCCTTTCAGTGCTGCCTTAGTTATTGCATACCTTATGGAGACATTTGGTGTGAAATACAGGTAAGACCTTTCAACAAACCAAGCAGGCTTCATTTATTGCTAGCTAGTTCAGAGTAGAGCTGGGACGTTAAACCGAAACTGACATTGCCTTCCTCTTACCAAAGCAAACGTCGGTAATTCTGGGTGATTTTCCTACACAACGTTCCTGTGGATTGTTCTAAAACCATAATTTGGTCAACAGTAAAATCCTATGCATTATGTTGAGTCTTGCTATGAAAGTATCTGCCTGTCCCTGTTTCGCTGCGGACTCTCACTCCCTCTCCCCACGATCCACGCAGAGGAGGGAGAGATGCATTCTGAGAAGCACAAGCATATGACCGTTCAAAATGCTCTTGTGGGAAAAATAGTTTTCAAAGCAACTATTGTTTTAGTTAGAGAGGAGATTCGTAGCTTTCTGTGAGTGCGTTCAGAAAGTATTTAGACCCCTTCACTTTTTTCACGTTGTTACGTTACAGCCTTATTCTAAAATTGATTTCCCCCACATCAATCTACACACACTACCCCATAATGACAAAGCAAAAACAGTTTTTTTATTTTTATTTTTGCAAATGTATAAAATAAAACTTTAATATCACATTTACATAAGTATTCAGACCCTTTACTCAGTACTTTGTTGAATCGCCTTTGGCAGCGATTACAGCCTCGAGTCTTCTTGGATATGACGCTACAAGCTTGGCACACCTGTATTTGGGGAGTTTCTCCAATTCTTCTCTGCAGATCCTCTCAAGCTGTCAGGTTGGCTGGGGAGTGTCGCTGCGCAGCTATTTTCAGGTCTCTCCAGAGATGTTTGATCGGGTTCAAGTCCGGGCTCTGGCTGGGCCACTCAAGGACATTCAGAGACTTGTCCCGAAGCCACTCCTGCGTTGTCTTGGCTGTGTGCTTAGGGTCGTTGTCCTGTTGGAAGGTGAACCTTCGCCCCAGTCTGAGTGCTCTGGAGCAGGTTTTCATCAAGGATCTCTCTGTACTTTGCTCCGTTCATCTTTCCCTCAATCCTGACTAGTCTCCCAGTCCCTGCCGCTGAAAAACATCCCCACAGCATGATGCTGCCACCACCACCATGCTTCACTGTAGGGATGGTGTCAGGTTTTCTCCAGACGTGACGCTTGGCATTTAGGCCAAAGGGTTCAATCTTGTTTCTCATGGTCTGAGAGTCCTTTAGGTGCCTTTTGGCAAACTCCAAGCGGGCTGTCATGTGCCTTTTACTGAGGAGTGGCTTCCGTCTGGCCACTCTACCATAAAGGCCTGATTGGTGGAGTGCTGCAGAGATGGTTGTCCTTCTGGAAGGTTCTCCCATCTCCACAGAGGAACTCTGGAGCTCTGTCAGAGAGACCATCAGGTTCTTGGTCACCTCCCTGACCAAGGCCCTTCTCCCCCGATTGCTCAGTTTGGCGGGGCGGCCAGCTCTAGGAAGAGTCTTGGTGGTTCCAAACTTCTTCCATTTAAGAATGGAGGCCACTGTGTTCTTGGGGACCTTAAATGCTGCAGACACAATCCTGTCTCGGAGCTCTACGGACAATTCCTTCAACCTCATGTCTTGGTTTTTGGCTAATTTCTCTCCCTCCCTCCCTCCCTCCTCAGGTACAGTATGTCATTCAAGGCTACCACAAGAGGAGAGAGTACATTGCTGCCTTTCTCAGTCACTTTGGAATGTGAGTCTGTGTGTGCGTATGTGCGCCCATGTATGCGAGAAATTAATTGAAATATCACATTTACATACACTACCACTCAACAGTTTGGACACACCTACTCATTCAAGGGTTTTTCTTTATTTTTACTATTTTTTGCATTGTAGAATAATAGTGAAGATATCAAAACTATGAAATAACACATATGGAATAATGTAGTAACCAAAAAAGTGTTATTCAAATCAAAATATATTTTATATTTGAGATTCTTCAAATAGCCACCCTTTGCCTTGATGACAGCTTTGCACACTCTTGGCATTCTCTCAACCAGCTTCATGAGGTAGTCACCTGGAATGCATTTGAATTAAGAAGTGTGCCTTCTTAAAAGTTAATTTGTGGAATTTATTTCCTCCTTAATGCGTTTGAGTCAATCAGTTGTGTTGTGACAAGGTGTGTGTGGGGGAGGGTATACAGATGATAGCCCTATTTGGTAAAAGACCAAGTCCATATTATGGCAAGAACCGCTCAAATAAGCAAAGAGAAACGACAGTCCATTACTTTAAGACATGAAGATCAGTCAATAAGGAACATTTCAAGAACTTTGAACGTTTGTTCAAGTGCAGTCGCAAAAGCCATCAAGTGCTATGATGAAACTGGCTCTCATGAGGACCGCCACCGGAATGGAAGACCCAGAGTTACCTCTGCTGCAGAGGATAAGTTCATTAGAGTTACCAGCCTCAGAAATTGCAGCCCAAATAAATGCTTCACAGAGTTCAAGCAACAGAACAACTGTTCAGAGCGGACTGTGTGAATCAGGCTTTCATGGTCGAATTGCTGCAAAGAAACCACTACTAAAGGACACCAATAAGAAGAAGAGACTTGCTTGGGCCAAGAAACACGAGCAATGGACATTAGACCGGTGGAAATCTGTCCTTTTGGTTTGGAGTCCAAATTGGAGATTTTTGGTTCCAACCACCATGTCTTTGTGAGACGTGGTGTGGGTGAACGGATGATCTCCGCATGTGTAGTTCCCACCGTAAAGCATGGAGGAGGAGATGTTATAGTGCGGGGGTGCTTTGCTGGTGACACTGTCTGTGATTTATTTAGAATTCAAGGCACACTTAACCAGCATGGCTACCACAGCATTCCTGCAGTGATGTGCCATCCCATCTGGTTTGGGCTTAGTGGGACTATCATTTTGTTTTTTCAACAGGACAATAACCCAACACACCTGTAGGCTGTGTAAGGGCTATTTTACCAAGAAGGAGAGTGATGGAGTGCTGTATCAGATGACCTGGCCTCCACAATCCCCCGACCTCAACCCAATTGAGATGGTTTGGGATGAGTCGGACCGCAGAGTGAAGGAAAAGCAGCCAACAAGTGCTCAGCATATGTGGGAACTCCTTCAAGACTGTTGGAAAAGCATTCCAGGTGAAGATGGTTGAGTGAATGCCAAGAGTGTGCAAAGCTGTCATCAAAGCAAAGGGTGGCTATTTGAAGAATCTCAAATATAAAATATATTTTGATTTGTTTAACACTTTTTTGGTTACTACATGATTCCATATGTGTTATTTCATAGTTTTGATATTTTCACTTTTATTCTATAATGTAGAAAATAGTAAAAATAAAGAAAAACCCTTGAATGACTAGGTGTGTCCAAACTTTTCACTGGTACTGTATGTATTCAGACCCTTTACTCAGTACTTTGTTGAAGCACCTTTGGCAGCAATTACGACCTCGAGTCTTCTTGGGTATGACACTACAAACTTGGCACACTTGTATTTGGGGAGTTTCTCTCATTCTTCTCTGCAGATCCTCTCAAGCTCTGTCAGGTTGGATGGGGAGCGTCGCTGCACAGCTATTTTCAGGTCTCTCCAGAGATGTTCGATCGTGTTCAAGTCCGGGCTATGGCTGGCCAACTCCAGGACATTCAGAGACTTGTCCCGAAGCCACTCCTGCGTTGTCTTGGCTGTGTGCCGTTGTCCTGTCGGAAGGTGAACCTTCACCCCCAGTCTGAGGTCCTGAGCGCTCTGAAGCAGGTTTTCATCAAGGATCTCTCTGTACTTTGCTCCGTTCATCTTTCCCTCAATCCTGACTAGTCTCCCAGTCCCTGCCGCTGAAAAACAGCCCCACAGCATGATGCTGCCACCACCATGCTTCACCATAGGGATGGTGCCAGGTTTCCTCCACACGTGACACTTAGCATTCAGGGCAAATAGTTCAGTCTTGGTTTCATCAGACCAGAGAATCTTGTTTCTCGTGGTCTGAGAGTCCTTTAGGTGCCTTCTGGCAAACCAAGCGGGCTGTCATGTGCCTTTTACTGAGGAGTGGCTTCCGTCTGGCCACTCTACCATAAAGGCCTGATTGGTGGAGTGCTGCAGTGATGGTTGTCCTTCTGGAAGGTTCTCCCATCTCCACAGAGGAACTCTGGAGCTCTGTCAGAGTGACCATCGGGTTCTTGTTCACCTCCCTGACCAAGGCCCTTCACCCCCGATTGCTCAGTTTGGCTTGGCGGCCAGCTCTAGGAAGAGTCTTGGTGGTTCCAAACTTCTTCCATTTAAGAATGATGGAGGCCACTGTGTTCTCGGGGACCTTCAATGCTGTAGACATTTTTTGGTACCCTTCCCCAGATCGGTGCCTCGACACAATTCTGTCTCGGAGCTCTAAGGACCATTCCTTCGACCTCATGGCTTGGTTTTTGCTCTGACATAAACTGTCAACTGTGGGACCTTATATAGACAGGTGTGTCTTTCCTAATAATTTCCCATCAATTGAATTTACCACAGGTGGACTCATTTCAATCAAGTTGTAGAAACATCAAGAATGATCAATGGAAACAGGATGCACCTGAGCCTAATTTCGAGTCTCATAGCAAAGGGTCTTAATACTTATGTATGTAAGGTATTTCTGTTTTTAGTTTAAAATAAATTTGTACAAATGTATAACTTGTTTTCGCTTTGTCATTATGGGGTATTGTGTGTAGATTGAGCATTTTTTTGTTTTTAACCATTTTAGAATAAGGCTGTAACGTAACAAAATGTGGTAAAAGTGAAGGGGTCTGAATACTTTCCGAATGCACTGTATAGGCCAATAATGCAGAAAGATATCTGCAATTCTCTAAAGAGCCAAAAATAAATCGGACAATTCTGCATTCTATTTTGACAAGTTGCACATAAAAATATAAATCATGCATTTCCTGGATATGTTAATGTAATAGCTTACTTTTTGAATCATAGGCTACCAGTTGTCTTACTTGGCACTGGAAAAAATTGTCTAGAGCCCTGCCGCTAATGTAAACTAACTGTCCATTAAACTTTTAACGTTGTATTCGTTAGAGCAAAATACACTGAACAAAAATATGAACGCAACGTGAAGTGTTGGTCCCATGTTTCAGGAGCTGCACCCCTGCCCAGTCATGTGGAATTCATAGATTAGGGCCAAATTAATTGTTTTCAATTGACTAATTTCCTTAAATGAACTGAAACTCTGTAAAATCTTTGAAATTGTTACGTTTATATTTTTCAGTAGTTTACATTTATCGCCAGCTAGCACCTCTCCCAAAAAGTATTTACCGTAATTTAATCGCAGATTTATCATTATTGCAACAACAAAAAACAATTCTTTGCAATATGGATTTTGGTCCATATCGCTCTAGTTCATTGACATAATATTGAGTTCACTACATTAATTGCTGCTGTCCAGCTGCATGGTGACCAAAGATCTAGTAAAATGTCCTGCTGTATGTTGCTGGTTCTTCTGCAGGGATGCTTTCAGCCACGTTCAGGAGAGGAGATTCTGCATCAACCCTAACGTGGGTTTTGTGCATCAATTACAGGTAGGGTCCTCTGTAGTTCAAGTCGTGAACTCAACCTTCCAAACAGCTCTGACCACTTATATACTTAAATGGCATATTCAATGGGTTTCAACATTAAATGTGGCAGATAAATGTCTCCTCAAAACAAGACATTTCTGTCTGAATGTTTGTAACATTGCGCCCTCCATCTCTGTTTTCTAGGAATATGAAGCGATCTACTCAGCTAAACTGACCATCAAGATGTCACCAATACAGCTGGGCAGAGCGTTCTCCCTTCATGCTGGAATGCCAGGTCAGTGTGTGCAACTTTCATTCAGGTGACCATTCCAAGAACCTAGGCTTATTCCACGTTTACCATACACGTCTGTCACCGTGGGTGGATTTGAGATGACTTACGAACCACCTAGAAAGAAGTCTATTGCAGTTGGGGGAGGAGCTTATTTATCAGTCACTGGGCAGAATGTATGCAATGAAACATGCCCAACTGGTTTTCATCCCATGAAATTCAGATTTTTACAGTTTATTAACCTCAACACCAGTCTTTCTTTATGGATGTTTGACTCTGTGAATCTGTTCCTCATAGGCAGCCTGAAACGAAGCCTGGAGGAAGACTAGGATTTCTGGGGGATGCAAGTCACTGCTGAGCAGAACGTATAGGCTTATTATGCAGATAGCTGTCGTCACATACAGTGCATTTTTTTTTTTTTTTTTTACATTTGTATTGATTTAAAAAAAAAATGTAAATATTTAAACTTTTCTAAAGGGGGTGGGGGAGCATTGGGTCCACTTCCTGACGTCTGAGACCGAAGGAAGAGGGGTACAATTTCATAAATGATTTTTTGTTGTTGAGCTGTATGCACTGAAGGTTTTATGCAGTTTTATAGCATTTCAAGCATTTTGCATTTGCAGCGGGACAGTATTGCAATAATGCACTTTTGATACTTGAATTATTTTTCGCCAGAAGGGGGCAGTTGGCTTAAGGGACAGGAATAGGAAGTAAATGCCCTATGCTGAGGTCCACATTAGGGAATTGGGAATGTTGGACAGATCAGGTTTACAATGGATTCGTATTGATATAACATTTAGAAAAACAGCTTGCCAGAGAATTAATGACCCACTGCTCAATAAACAAACGGCTAACTTATGTCTTTTGTACTGCTATTTTTAGCCTGTTTCTAGCATTCTTTATATTATCAATTTAACACACTAACACCATGCTCCCAAATATTCTGTCAGGTTTTTGTATTTTGATCAACAAAGTAACAACCAGTGTAAAAAGAATTTATTTGCATTTTACATAGAATTTATTCTAAATAAATAGAATACAAATGTCCCCAGTTGCCAAGGCTAAATGCATAATTATGAAAAAATCTAAGGTTGAATAAATAAGCTTTCACAATTACATTTAATTTACCCCACAAACATTTATGGCAATTCTTTAACCATATCTTCATACCAAACATAGCTATGTATTTTATTGAACAGAATTCCCTCAAACCTATACATGATTTTACTTGTGTAGAACAAACTTCCTGAGGTCTGAAATAACCGATGTACCGTTGATCACTAGTGAAAGCATCATTTTATATATATAAAATATTGAAAGGGCTCTCTTCAAACTTGACAGCAATTCTGTATTACACGTAGGCCAATAGGTTGCAAGCACAGTTATTTGTCTAATGGGCACAAAGATCAAAGTCTTTGCCAATGAACAGAAAATACAATCTGAGTGGGTGATTGTCAAATTTCTCAAAATAAATATGCAGTACCTTAGCATAATGAATGTCCCAGGTTGTCTGGCCTACATTAAGGTATCATTCCAACTAAAGTGTTATTGAACCGTTACCAAATGGTCTTTGTACGTGTGTCAGTTTGACTTTTCACACTTGCCTTTGCATATCTCACATGTGGACCAGTCTGCAAATTTTAATATTGCAATTTTAACATTTGATGTAAATATTAACTAAAACCCTCTTAACACTTAAATTTGTGAATCAAAAAATGAAAAATTATTCAATGTGTTTCCTATAAAGCGCAGAGTCCCCGAATTCCAGACTGGATTGACATTCTGTTAAGAAGCTGGGGAAGCCAGGGACACAATGCCAAATCTCCCCCAGGTGAGGTAGCTTTGTGACCAGAGGGACAGTGACTGATGGTGGGGAGACGACTTGAACTTTGTGGGGTCCTAGGCTGTTGAACCAATATGACAATGTCCTGGAACCAATTTATTCAAGTCAAATCCCAGGGAGGGAGAACTACGTTTCCTGACCTCAATCAAAGAATCGACACTGCATGTAAGTCTCGTCTGATGCAGAGTAGCTAAACTTCTTGTAGAAGGCCACGTTGTTGGGTGCACATTCCAGTGTTATTTTATAGCAATCTAGTTTTTTGCTGAGGAGAGTGAGGGTCGACACTAACCTGAAATTGGTGAGAGAAAACAAGAACCGTTAACGAAGAGTTTAACAAAAGGACAATAGCCTGCCTTGTTTTGCCAGACAAGTTGGCTAAAGCTACATCCTCACTGAACTGTGAAATGTAACGTCCATGTTTTACAGAACAGGGTTTGGAAGAGAGGCAAGGACTACCAATTAAGTCTTAACTAAATAAACAGAATGACCCTCTTTCAAAGATAATTTGTAAAAATCCAAATAACTTCACAGATCTTCATTGTAAAGGTTTTAAACATTGTTTCCCATGCTTGTTCAATGAACCATAAACAATTAATGAACATTCACCTGTGGAACGGTCGTTAAGACACTAACAGTTTACAGACGGTAGGCAATTAAGGTCACAGTTATGAAAACTTAGGACACTAAAGAGGCCTTTTTACTGACTCTGAAAAACGCCAAAAGAAAGATGCCCAGGGTCCCTGCTCAGCTGCGTGAACGTGCCTTAGGCATGCTGCAAGGAGGCATGAGGACTGCAGATGTGGCCAGGGCAATAAATTGCAATGTCTGTACTGTGAGACGCCTAAGACAGCGCTACAGGGAGACAGGCTGGACAGCCGATCGTCCTCGCAGTGGCAGACCACGTAACAACACCTGCACAGGATCGGTACATCCGAACATCACACCTGTGGGACAGGTACAGGATGGCAACAACAACTGCCCGAGTTACACCAGGAACGCACAATCCCTCCATCAGTGCTCAGACTGTCCGCAATAGGCTGAAAGAGGCTGGGCTGAGGGCTTGTTGTAAGGCAGGTCTTCACCAGACATCACCGGCAACAACATCGCCTATGGGCACAAACCCACCGTCGCTGGACCAGACAGGACTGGCAAAAAGTGCTCTTCACTGACTAGTAGCGGTTTTGTCTCACAAGGGGTGATGGTCGGATTCGCATTTATCATCGAAGGAATAAGCATTACACTGAGGCCTGTACTCTGGAGCGGGATCGATTTGGAGGTGGAGGGTCCGTCATGGTCTGGGGCGGTGTGTCACAGCATCATCGGACTGAGCTTGTTGTCATTGCAGGCAATCTCAACACTGTGCGTTACAGGGAAGACATCCTCCTCCCTCATGTGGTACCCTTCCTGCAGGCTCATCCTGACATGACCCTCCAGCATGACAATACCACCAGCCATACTGCTCGTTCTGTGCGTGATTTCCTGCAAGACAGGAATGTCAGTGTTCTGCCATGGCCTGCGAAGAGCCCGGATCTCAATCCCATTGAGCACGTCTGGGACCTGTTGAATCGGAGGGTGAGGGCTAGGGCCATTCCCCCCAGAAATGTCCAGGAACTTGCAGGTGCCATGGTGGAAGAGTGGGGTAACATCTCACAGCAAGAACTGGCAAATATTGTGCAGTCCATGAGGAGGAGATGCACTGCAGTCCTTAATGCAGCTGGTGGCCACACCAGATACTGACTGTTACTTTTGATTTTGACCCCCCCTTTGTTCAGGTACACATGATCAATTTCTGTTAGTCACATGTCTTGTTCAGTTTATGCCTCAGTTATTGAATCTTGTTATGTTCATACAAATATTTACACATGTTAAGTTTGCTGAAAATAAATGCAGTTGACAGTGAGAGGACGTTTCTTTTTTTGCTGAGTTTATATTTTTTCATTATTTCACCGTTAATACAGTCCCAAAATATTTTGCATGTCAAGTTTTCAGCATAACACATGATCATGTGGCAAGTGTCACTTTGCTTCTTGTCAAGATATAGGATTTTCAAGAAGCAAAGTGTCACTTGCCACAACATCATGATGTTATCTTGAAAACATTTTGGCACTGGAACAGTGGACTAATGGAAAAAAATCCCCAAATAAAATGTTTGGGTGGATTCTTCCTTTAAGCTCAGTGGAGACTACTCACAGTTTCCCCAGCTGTTTTCCCCGGCACACGTCACTGACAACCACCTCCTCCACCCTTCCTCTCTGTGAATGAGACAAAATGTCAGCTCATGTCAGACATACAGAAGTCTTCAATGGGCTGAATAACTATGTGACAAACGTGTGGGTTTTAGCTAAATATCCAATTGTCATCAATGCAATGATATGTTACGTGTGCTTCTGTCAAGATTTGGCCTTATAAGATTAGACCAAGTACATAAATCATAAAGGAGATGAGTTGACATAGATCCAGGGAGGGTTTAATGTAGATTGCTTGTTGGTAAACACTACCTTTGCACAGGAATGAATGAATTTGTGCTCTGTGATCAATGTGGCCGTGGCAACAATCTGTCCCAGGTTTGTGTCCTCCACCACGACGACATAGTAGTCCCCAGTCTTTTTCATCTGCTCAAATTTCTCTATGAGAAAATATAAAGGATCATTATAGATAGTGTGCGCATCTATATCTGACAGACAGGATATCATATGGCAAAAGGCTTATTGAGGACCTTTTTACTGAAGAATGTGTTTGTTTTCTATGATTGTGTTTTGCTTTTTGTGTATTGATGTGTATACAAGGCTCATCTGTAAAAGAGACCTGGGTCTCGGCATGACTTCCTGTCAAAATAAAAGGTTAAATAAAATATGAACTAGTTCTTAGAAGTAAACGACAGTATAGCTCTTCAGCATATCAATATTTTTTTGATGGTTGTTTTAGGATTTACATACCATGTCTTTGAAAAATCTGCATGTACATTCACTTTATAATATGGCAAAATTAACCAGTCAATGTGTATTGCCATACCTAGGCTTTGATTGGAACTTACTAATAAACTGCTCTGGCGTAACATCCCCTGCAGTTGTGAGTTGGGATAACACCTTGTAGAATCCTGTGTAGCAAAAACAACATTGGAACTATTAGGAAACTTACATTCAAACTTTTATTTTAGACATAGAATAGAAAGCATGACTGTTGAACCAGACAGGTCAGTCTCTTATTGTGAAAACACTGACTTTCAGGAATGCCACTATTGTAAGGGACAAGTCAGTCTCTTATTGTTGTTCAGCTAAGTCAGTCTTATTATTTGGAATATGTCAGTCAGGGTCGTGTTCATAAGGGAACACTGTAGCAAAAGGTTTTGCAACGGAAAACTCAAATGACCGTTTCCCATTGGATAAGTCCAGCTAGGCCCTTCCTGTTTCAGTCAGTTTTCTTCCGTTTGGTGCCTAATGAACACAACCCAGGTAAAGCAGTGTGTTGTAGTGGCCCTTCCTTCCTTACCCCTGTTGAAGTCGGCTGTGCAGAGGGGCCTGAGGACCAGACCTTCCCCAGGCTGGGAGGGGGAGATGGGGGGAGAGAAGGACACTGTCTTGCTACTCCAGTCCAGCTCCTGCAGCAGAGCTGGATCGAATAGTGGCGTCTCATCCAGCAGCATCCCACAGGCTCTGCACACGCGCACACACACACACACACATTTAATGTTAGTGAAACTGACCTAAAGGTGTGGGAATAAAATTAATGTACTTATCAAATACTGACTGTATATAGTGTGTAAATCCTTTCTCCAATATTAGCTTAATATGTTTACTTTTGAAATGACGAATTCAGTTCTGTGTTCAGTTCTGCTGCACAGACAGTTGACTTTAACCGAGCAAATACGGTATAAAATAGTAATGAAGGCCAAAATTAGTCTAAAGTGGGTTGAAAGACACTCAGAGCAGTTTCCAAAATGGTAGAGACAATGTCAGTGAGTGACTAACATTCAACTTGAGGAAATTGTATGAATCATTGAATGACACTACTAAAGTATGGGGGGGGGGGGGGGGGGGGGGGGGTTCTCTCCTCTTGGCTTTGTAAAGTGAAATAACGCCTTATCTCCTATGTCCCAACTGTATTGTGTTCAGGATATGTCATCCCATACGCTCCTCCTATCCAGGACATGGAACAGGAGTTGGACCTACCCCACTATGTGGACACCCTTGGGTGCAGCCATAGAACAAGAATGTAGGCCTACCTCCACTTTCACCAAGTAAGGGTACTGAGTGATGGTGGTCAAAGTCAATTGTCTTGCCTAGAATTGTTTCATAAACAGTGAAGGACTGGTCTAGTTTCCTTGATGAATCTAGAAGAGTATGGTTAGGCTAATCCATTGCTAGCTGACTGTGGTAAAAAGTACTTAAGTAAAAATACTTTAAAGTACTACTTAAGTAGTTTTTTGGGAGATATCTGTACTTTACTATTTATATTTTTGACAACTTTTACTTCACTACATACTTTGTACTCCATACATTTTTCCTGACACCCAAAGCTACTCGTTACATTTTGAATGCTTTGTAGGACTGGAAAATGGTCCAATGCAAGCACTTATCAAGAGAACATCCCTGGCCATCCCTACTGCCTCTGATCTGGTGGACTCACTAAGCACAAATACTTCATCTGTAAATTATGTCTGAGTGTTGAAGTGTGCCCCTGGCTATCCGTAAATTGAAAAACAAGAAAATGGTGTCCTCTGGTTTGCTTAACATAAGGGATTAGAAATTATTTATACTTTTACTTTTGATACTTTAGTATATTTTAGCAATCACATTTACTTTTGATACTTAAGTATATTTAAAACCAAATATTTTAGACTTTTACTCAAGTAGTATTTTACTGGGTGACTTTCACTTTTACTTTTCAATTAAGGTATCTTTACTTTTACTCAAGTAACGTTATGACCATTGGGTACTTTTTCCACCACTGCTAGCTGTCATAAAATGTTAACCATTTATAAAAAGACACAGTAGCTATGTTGCCACAAGCACAGATAGAACAATGGTTTAGTTATAAAAAATCTTTGCCAAAATCTTTCGTACTACTACGTATCCACCTTTTCATAGGTAATTTTGTCCTGACAAGCTAACGTTACTACAACTAGCTAGCTAGTGACAGTAACTAGCTTTCAATTTTCGGACATTTGCTAACATGCCATCTCTTACTAATATGTTTATTATAGCTAGCTAGCTAACCCTAAATGTGACCTAATCTAGACTAGATTAGAGCCAATAGCCAATTTCTCAACTCTATAATACACTTAGCCAGAAATTGACATAGCTAGCTGGTTAGTAGCCTAATATTAGACATCTGATTAATTATTTCATTAATTATCTATCTAATGAAATAATTAGAGGTCTAACGTTACTGGGCTAGCTAACGTTAGCTACACTTCACAACATTGCTCTTCAGCTATGCTAACGTAGCTAGCTAAATCAAGAAAATATGTCAATGTACTTACGGTGACATCAATGTAAGGACACGTACAGATGAATAAATCTCGGAATGAATACTTGATCGATCTCCTTTTTCGGGTGTATCACTAGTTTACATCATTGATCGAACCAGGATATATTTTCTTCCTCCTCCTTTTTCTGACAGCACTCCTGTATGACGTGGCAGAGTGGCTGGAGCCAGAGACGGAAGAGGAAGCGTGACATCCCACTCCGAGTTTTCAATGGAAGTCAATTAACTAAGTAGACCAGACCAAGAGCCATAAACATGCCCTTTGACTTATTCCACCTTTTGGTTGTGTTACACCCTGAATTCAAAATGGATTAAATTGCTTTTTTTTTCACACCCATCTACACACAATACCCCATAATGACAAAGTGAAAACATGTTTTTAGACATTTTTGCAAATTTATTGAAAAGGAAATACAGAAATATCTAATTTACATAAGTATTGACACCCATGAGTCAATACTTTGTAGAACCACCTTTGGCAGCGACTACAGGTGTGAGTCTTTTTGGGTAAGTATCTAAGAGCTTTCCACACCTGGATTGTGCAACATTTGCCCATTATTCTTTTCAGAATTCTTCAAGTGCTGTCAAATTGGTTGTTGATCATTGCTAGACAACCATTTTCAGGTCTTGCCATAGATTTTCAAGTAGATTTAAGTCAAAATTGTAACTCATCTACTCTGCAGTGCAGATTTGGCCTTGTGTTTTAGTTTATTGTCCTGCTGGAAAGTGAATTCATCTCCCAGTGTCTGGTGGAAAGCAGACTGAACCAGGTTTTCCTCTAGGACTTTGCCTATGCTTAGCTCCATTTAGTTTATTTTCTATCCTGAAAAACTTCCCAGTCCTTAATGATTACAAGTATACAGTGCCTTCGGAAAGTATTCAGACCCCTTGACTTTTTCCACATTTAGTTAAGTTACAGGTTTATTCTAAAATTGGTGAAATTGTTTTTTTCCCCCTCATCAATCTAAACACAATACTCCATAATGACAAAGCAAAAACAGGTCCTTGATGAAAACCTGCTCCAGAGCGCTCAGGACCTCAGACTGGGGCGAAGGTTCACCTTCTAACAGGACAATGACCCTAAGCACACAGCCAACACAATGTAAAATGTAAATGTAAACAACGCAGGAGTAGCTTCGGGACAAGTCTCTGAATGTCCTTGAGTGGCCCAGCCAGAGCCCGGACATGAACCCGATCGAACATCTCTGGAGAGACCTGAAAATAGCTGTGCAGCAACGCAGCCTGACAGAGCTTGAGAGGGTCTGCAGAGAAGAATGGGAGAAACTCCCCAAATACAGGTGTGCCAAGCTTGTAGTGTCATATCCAAGAAGACTCAAGGCTGTAATCGCTGCCAAAGGTGCTTCAACAAAGTACTGAGTAAAGGGTCTGAATACTTATGTAAATGTGATATTTCAGTTTTCTATTTTTAATAAATTAGCAAAAATGTCATTACGGGGTAATTGTGTATAGATTGATGATGGAAAAAAAAATATTTAAGCAATTTTAGAATAAGGCTGTAACCTAACAAAATGTGGAAAAAGTAAAAGGATCTGAATACTTTCCGAAGGCACTGTATATGACTGTGACCAGACCCAGCTGCTATCACATTGGTGTCTATCGGAGACAGGGCATTGATGTCAACAAGTATCAGATGAACTTTCATGAGAGCATTTTAGTCCAGTCCATCATTATTCCAAAATAATAATACATTTCACAAAAATAATCAATGAAATATTTAATATTACGTGTCAGCAAGACTCGTTTTGGGTAGGACGAGGATATCTTATTTTAGTAGATAAGAGTAACAGTCGTTTTATTTTAACTGTGATTTTACCCCAAAGCCCTAAACAAGCTGGGAATAGGCTGCACACAAATTGGGAAAGAGTTCCTACAGCTTTACAGTTCCTAATGAGGAACAACAGGTCTGTCAAAGATCAACTTGCGTCACTGAATGTCCACACCCAACCAAACAGGTTCCAATCTGGAATGCATTACACTAGTTAAGTTCACCACTCTTCTAGTGCCATTTCAGAACCCGAGATCCTGTGTCACACACATAACCATTAATCACTTGTCTGAGTGAGTGAATGAGTGAGTGAGAGTGAGGAAATGTAGTCACTTATAATCACCCAATGAGCAGCATGTAAACTAAACCCGGATACAACAACGGTGACACTGTCCAAATGAGAATGACTCCCTTTCAACTCCTTCACTAACAAACCATATGTTTTCCCATTGCCTAAGGCCTCACGTTTCCAAAGAACAGATGTTCTGAGGGAACACACTGGCATTTCCCCTACTGGTTTATGAGATAGATATTAAGCTCAAGGTCCAATGTCCTTAGTGCTACACTAGGACATAGGGGAATGTATCTCACAGCATGTGGTAAAGAGAACAACTACTAGGGCTCTGTTGAATCAGATCCGCTTTAGCCGACATCCGTATAGCGGTTGTTTTGGCAGTGTCGGAGGTGGAACTGCATAAGAGCTGTCAAATCCACAAGCGGCTCCTGGCATTATACTACTGGCATTATGAGAAATGCCATGCAGCCTTGTTTACAAATTCAATCACTGGAATGTGATATGTAATCTAGACCTCGATTAGGCTGATAGAAATCCTCATTATTCCGTAATTTATTTATTCAAATTCTTTGAAACAAGTTATTTTTATCATTTCACTTCACCAATTTGGACTATTTTGTGTATGTCCATTACATAAAATCCAAATAAAAATCAATTTAAATTACAGGTTATAATGCAACAAAATAGGAAAAATGCCAAGGGGGATGAATACTTTTGCAAGGCACTGTATAAGCAGACAATGAAAGCTCTTACAATATTCGATGATGACATTTCTCTAAAACAGGCTATAGGCTAAATGTGTACCACCAAATCAGAACAGTAGGCTTAAATTATGAGGGGAAAAGGGAGCAAATTATTAGGGTGAGGCACATGGGCTACTAACAGCTTACTACAAAACATACACTTAGTATTACTTTCTTAGCTACAGTATACATATCTCCCTGGCATATTACATAATTTATGCAGCAGTATACAAGACATTTTTGGACTCACCTTGTTGTGCTGTGCTCACTTGAACAGAAAGGTGGCGCGGCGGTCAAAAATGTGTAATCACACTTTGTCATCAAAGTCTGGTATTCTCTGG